TTGTGAGCCTAAGCCTGGAAGAAACGGAAATTTCTTTTAGTATTACTCCACCAGTGTCTCTGTAGAAAGTCTAAACCTCCTCATGCCCGAGTTCTCAGAATTAATAATCTACTAGCTTTGTGATATTGAGCAAGACATTTCCTCCTCTCTGGAACTCAGTTTTCTCATATGTAAAAAGAGGGACATTGGATCAGATAATTTCTAAGGTCCCTCCCAACTGTTTATCTGTGATCCCATGATCCTTGCCCTATCCACTCCATAGAGATGTTTTGTGCCTAAAATAAGATAGCAGATGTGCAGACATCTTGAAAAGACTGAATAATGCAAATGACTCTATATATGACGTCTCTGAAAAAGTGACATTTTTTCCCTTATTAAGTCCTAACTGTTCCTTTTTTTGAAAATACAGAAGAAAGGAAAGAGAATAATGGATTGTTAAGAGGGTCCACAAGGTTATGATGAGATATGGTGGGAAACTGATACAAGAGGAATTAAGCACAAAGAGTGATAGAGATGTAAAGTACAGAGAGGATAGAGAATTAAAAAAGGAAACTTAGGTACCCATTTTGATCCCTCCCTCCTCTCCTACCATCTATCACCGCAATTGTCAACATACCCCATAGAATTCCATCTTCCCCTCTTTTTTCTACCATACTACATCCACATATTTGTGTATTCTCAAGAAGGGGCTGGTTCTGTGAATGACTCTATTGTAGACTTGGTTTGTAATTATGGATTAAATTGTTTTCAACTCAACTGAATTCAACAAGCATTTATTAAGCACTTATGTACCAGACACTGTGCTAGGCAGGGGGAATATGAAGACAAAAATAAAATAATCCAAGCTCTTAAGGAGTTTATATGGTAATGGGGCAAGGAGAGGGAAGGAAGAGGAACAATGTGTACACAAAGAAGTCCAAAATGCATGGAAAGAAACACAAGGGAATTTTAGGGGAGGGAGAGCACTAACAGCCTAAGAACTGGGGAAATCACAAAATGCTTTGTGAAGGACCCTAGGAGCTAGGCCTTGAGCTGATTGGCACTAGTAAATTCCTAGAGACAGGAGTGAGGAAAAAGAGCATTCCAGGCTTGAGGGATGGAAGGAGATGGAATGTCATGAATGAGAAGCAGTAAGTATGTCTGTTTGGCAAGAGTGTAGAGTACACAAAGGGGGAAATTAGTCTGAACAAATAGATTGGAACCAGACTGCAGAGGGCTTTAAATGCCAAACAGAGTTTTGTATTTTATCTTATGGGCAGTTGGGGTCCCCTGAAGTCTCCTGAGGATGACATGGTTAGATCTATGTATTAGGGAAATCAATTTGGCAGCTGTGTGGAGCTTAGATTGGAGAGGGAAGAAGCCGGGTGCAGGAAGGCCAGTTAGGAGGCTATTATAATGGTGAGAAATGATGAACGAGGACAGCCAGCCTTAAGAATAGAAGGGGGGGGCAGCTAGGTGGCGCAGTGGATAGAGCACCGGCCTGAAGTCAGGAGGACCTGAGTTCAAATCTGGCCTCAGACCCAACACTTGATGCTTACTAGCTGTGTGACCTTGGGCAAGTCACCCCAATTGCCTAAAAGGCAAAAAAAAAAATAGAAGGGGACAGAAAAGAGACGTGGAGATAAACAGACAAAACTTGGCAGTTGGTTGGATATGAAAGTGGTGAAGATAACAGAATTCGTGAACCTGGGTAACTGAAAGGATGGTGGTACCATTGACAGAAATAGGGGAGTTACTAAAAAAAAAGTACAGTTTAGGAAGAAAGATAAGGAGTTTTGTTTTGGACATGTTGAGTTTGAAAATCCTGTGAAATATACAGGTGAAAATGTTCAGCAAGGGCAATGTCCCCCTCCCATCCTTGCAGTTGGGTGCCACAAAAACAAACTTGAAGGGTAATAATAATAATAATAATAATAATAATAACAATAGCTAACACTTATATAGCACCTACTTTGTACCAGGTACTGTGTGAAGCACTTTAAAATTATTACCTTATTTGATCCTCACAACCCTGGGAGGTCAATGCTATTATCCCCATCTTAAGATGAAGTAACTGAGGTGAACAGGGTGTAAGTGACTTGCCCAAGGTCACATAGCTAGTAAGTTTAGGTATTGATTTCCAAACCAATTCCCAACTTCCTTATTAGTAAAGGACACCATCCTTCTCCAGTTCCCCATTTGCCATGAAATCTCTTCTCTGGGTACATGCCTTCACCTTTCTGGATGCTGGTTCCATTATCCTGAGATAGATAGGATGCTGTCCACGGGAGCTACAATGCTTTTCCAGAAATAGTTCAGTGATTTCTTTGAGCACCAAATTCCTGCAGATTAATCCCATTGTAAAGTACCTTTGTCCTAATACAGAATATATCTCTTCCTTTAGAAAGACAGCTCCCACCATTGAATCAAGATTTCCTCTTTCCTTCCTCATATCAACCCTTCCCTTTGCCACTTCACCCATTTTCTTGAAACCCTTCTTCCTGAAAGATTATAATTATTTTCCCTTTTTTGTTTACTTGGTTAGGAGTAAGTCACTCATTCCTCTCTATCTTCTAATTCTCCTCCCCTCTTTTATTAACCCTCTCATTCTTACAGTTTAGTAACCCCCCAATCCCCATGCAAAACCAGAAACCAAAAAACATTGATTCACTTGAGGGGTGAGAGGGGTGGTGGGGGAGGGAGATTAAGTCCACAGTGTTTTAGATTTGTCTACCATAACTTCTATTGAAGTTCTGTTGTTATCTTTATATAATTTTGTACTTTTAGAAATATTTCAATCACCCTTCAGTTATTACTTTTGGTTTAACTACAAAATTTATTTTAAAAATGTTTAACACGTACTGTGCTTGCTTTTTAGGTTGTAAGCTCCTTGAGGGTTTCCCTTTTTATATTTGTCTCCTTAGTGTCAAGCCCAGGCTCACACATAAATGTATGTTGAATTGAACTGAACTGCCACACCCCCCAACTTTAACCTTCTTGCCTACAGATGCAGAAACAGAATGTTTTCAGGGAGTCCTTAACTGTGTCCCAAGCCCTTGTGGACAAGGACTTAGAGGATATGCCTTAGACTTGGGCCCTTCTTTGGACTTGGGCTGCCTGACTGGGCTAGATGCCAGGTCCTGGGTGCCCTTGCTCAGCTGTTTGCCTGGCTCTGCCACTTCTCTGGAGATGTCCTGAGGAGGCCTGGGTAGGTCCCAGAAGAATGGGCTTGTAGGTTTCCATGTACAGGAAGATGGGTCCCAAGTAGGTCCTTTGAGGAGGGGGTAGGGATGGCCCAGGCTGAGGCAGAGGCTTCCCAGTGGCACAATGAGGAAGATTGGGTGTGCCCTGCCTTTGGCATTCCAAGTCTAGGCCAACTCCCCATCACCATATTTCCTGGGCAGCCTTTCAAGAGGATCCTCAAACCGCTGGCTCTTTCCTTCCAGTGGGATTTTAAGTACATGGCTTTGGGTTGTAGTGCAAGATCTGGGTACAGGTTACTCTACTGTCTCTGTTCTGTCCCCAGAGGAAAGCCTGGGTCTTCTGTGAAGGTTGCTATCACCACTCCCAGTACTTGTAGTGTCTCTGGCAGGTGGAAAGCAGCCTCTCTTCCCCCCTCTCCTATCCTCCCTGCCTTTGTTTTTTAACCCCATATATATCTTTCTCTCATTTTTTTTAATAGTCTCTAAAGATGGCATAGTTTGTTTTTACTTATGCTTTCCTTAGCAGCTGTGTTTATTTTCTTGTTTCTGTTGCCTGGGGTGTTTGTTCGAAAACAGAATATCTCATTTTTTGTAGATATATTTCAAATGCCTCTCATTCATTGAACTCAATCATTTTTCCATTGATTGGGCTCAGCTTTGCAAATTGTCACTTTGGGTTGCATCTTGAATTCTTTTGCTTTTCGGAATATATTATTCCATTCCCCTTCTGTCGTATCTGGTGGTGCATAAGAGTCTTGTGTTACACAAATTTCTTTTCCTTTATATTTGAATGTCTCCAGTCACTTGAAAATTTTGTTGCTTGTCATTGGAATTGTTAAATCTAATTACTATGTGTGTTGGGAGTTTGCACTATGGGTTTTTCCCCCCTTCAGGAGGTGATCTATGAACTCCTTTGGTAGGTACTTATTCAGAACTTCTGGGTAATTTTTTTGTATTGTTTCTTGCATTGTGGTGCTCCAGTTTTTTGACTTGTATTCTTCTGGAAGATCTAGGATCTTTAAGTTGTCTCCAAGCATTCTGTCCTCAAGATTTAATGTTTAGAGATTGTGTTCTTTTAACATGATTATCTTTTGCTTCCCTTCTTCCAGACAGTCCTTCACATTATTAAGTATTATCCCTGTACCTTCCCCTTCCAGTTAAAACAACAACAAAAACAACAAAAGCAGTTCAGTAAAACCAATGGACACCACAATCACGAGCAGTAAAGAATTAGGTTTCATACAGAGAGACTGAGCAAAAACATACGGAAATTAATATCCTTGGAAGTACAAAGAATGTTCTCAACAACGTTAGCACCACACGAAACATATCTGAGATTCCTTTAATTCTAATTATCTGATTTGGCCATTTGTCTCTACCTACAAAAAATCTGGTTGCAGGCCTATGAGCACTATAGTATAATTCTGTCTGATGCTTCTACCACCTCCTCCTGAGTACTTGCTCTTTCTTACACATCTTGCTCTCTGCCATCTCTCATCTTCAGGGTCACTTATCTCAGTTTTGTGATAACCCTATTTCAGCATGGCAAATTCTGGGAAGGGCATGGCCAGGTTTGATGTATACAAAGTTTCTAGTTACACCTGAATTTGAACTTTTCAGGTAAGAGGAATATAAACTATTAGATTATTGTCATATTAATATTTACATTTAGAAGCTCAGAACCTAAGAGACAATTATTTCCTTTTAGTTACTTTGACTGAAATTCACTGTCTCAAGGGGAGGAGTGGTGTCTTGGTTATGGCATGATGATCCAGAGAGCCAAGCTTCTTATTAGTTTGGAATGGTCACTCAATTATGTTTTCATTATCAAAAATAAAATTCTTTATTAAAACAGCTGAACACAAACATTAAAGGGTGAAAAAACCCTTAAGAAAACAAATCCCAGGATACAATTCAGAATCTCTCTTATTGATCCTTATCTGTATGGATGATTAATTTAACCTTCTTTCAATAATCAAGCACCTTTTAACTCACCTTCAATTTTGGGAGTCAGAATCCTAAAACTACTCTCCAAGACTTTTAGTCAAGTTGGCATTAAAAGTCTATAGGATGCTTTACCTGGATTCCAAGGTTTCTTTCTATCATAGCTACAAGTGTACTTAACCCTTCTTAGTAAAAACTCATTCTTTACTTAGTTCTAACATAACCTGTAATGATATGAAGCACAGAAAGTCCAGTCTTTCCTGACAAAACACATGTTCTCAAAAGACTTTTGATGAAGGGAAGCAGTTTTAAAGTAAGATACAGCATATCTTCAAGAGGAGATCAGAGAATTTTAGGTAAAATAGTTAGAAAAACTAAATGCTCCCAATTTGAGCACAGACCTGACATTTGTTTGAAATATTTCATTAGGTTTTAAGTTTTTTGAGGGCAAGAATCATGTCTTATTTATCTTTGTATCTCAGAGCTTTTAGCAGAGAGTAGATATTTAAATGAATGAATAACTACTCTATATCAGAGATATCAATCTCATGGCCAGCACACTGCTTTGCCTGCAAAACTCCCAGCCTGAACCAGATTAAAATATAATTGGGAAATGTTTAACAAAATAAATAAATAAAAATTCAGTGCAACATAATGTTCACTCGATTTTAAAGTCAATGTGTGGCTTGCAAGGATATGTTTTTATTTGAGTTTGACACCATTGCTCTAAATGATATTTCTACTGTGGTATCACTTAGGGAGTAATTATGTAATTTACATATTTTTAAAATAGTTTATTTTCTTAGAAAAAATAATTTATCTCATTCTCAATTCACTCTATTAGAATAAATTCTAGTTTCCAAAAAGCTGCAATATCTAGTAACAAACATATTTAAATTGTAGGAACATGATTTCTAAAACTCACAGGTTTAAAAAAAAAGGTATAGTGTTTTTGCTTATATATCTAATCAATGATGTCACCAAGACAACAGGATTTTTTAAAAAAGTGTGAAAGTGGTTTCAGCACATGCACAAGCACATGCATACACATCTTCTCTGAAAGCCAAGAAGAATTCAAGTCCTTTTACAGACTGAGAGAACTGCAAACTGTCTCTTTGAACAGGTTTTCAAATACATACATAGATTGTGGGTGTGGTTGAGAAAATAACTGCCTATTGTATTAGCTGTATCATCAATCAAAAGCCCAGTATGAGAATCTACTATGTGTCCTGAACTCTGTTAAGTATAAAAAAGCCATCATTTGAAGAAAATGAAACATATAAAAATACATGGCTATTCTACAAAAATGTAGAAAACTATTTTGTTTCCTAAACGTCTATCTTTAATGAAAAACTAAGAATTCCAAATAATAGAACTGAAAAATGACTGATCTGTCAAATCTTTCAGAATATTTACTAAAAAAGTAAAATCTTGAAAAAAAAAACCCATTGCCCTGCCCTGCACATAAATATAGCATCAATCTGTGTTTAATTCCACAGCAAAAGTTCCAAGTCACCTTGGTATTCATGATGGAGAAATGAAATGAAAAGGGAGAAGAGAAAGGAGTCTTGAGGTAGAAATTAAGCTATCTCCTAAAACACAGAACCAGCCTTATTTGAGGAGGAGCAGGGAAGCAAGATCACTGAGACCCATGGATTACCCAAATCTCTTGGCATATCCAATAGTAATGACTGATAGATAGCTCTAACTAGAATCCTTATAATGTCCTTATAATGTGACACCTCTAAGACTGGTGCCCTGGCTCAGTTCCTAAGGAGATTTGCTTCCACCAATAAATAAGGTTCCCAAATCTATATTTAGAGCTTCTTTTGGGATAACTTCTTCATCCTCAACCTCATTCCCAAGTTTCTTCCACCAAGGTGCTTGTCCCTCTATCAGTGTAGCAAGATGGGCTTGCTTGGCTCTGGTGGCCACAGGTCGAGACCTGCTTATGAAAAGTTCAGGCTCCTGTCCTGTAATCTCCTTCAGATGTGGTGCACCTGTAATAAAAGAAGAGCATCAACTAAGAACTTGGGAGAACAAATGGTCTGAATTCTATGCAGACTACAACAATGAACCAAGTGACCACCACTCTCACCTATGGGTGTTATCTGCTTGTTCGGAAGAGATATATATTATGGTTTCATGCTGTCATTTTGAAAAGAAGTGTCTACTTGAATGACCTAGGCCAGGGGTGGGAACCTGTAGCCTTCTAGGAACTCAAGTGTGGCCCTTTGACTGAATCCAAACTTCACAGAACAAATCCCCTTAATAAAGTCAAGAGACTGCACCCAAGGACCTAGGCAGCCACATGTGGCCTCGAGGCCGTAGGTTCCCCACCCCTGAGTCCTAGGCCCTGCTAAAAAGGATTACAGAATTATGTAAATTTTTCAAAAAGCTGATTTCTTTTGATTACAGAAACTACTAAAAAGGAAAACAGAATCTATCTTGTTGGGAAAAGATCCATGAAAACCTCAATCCCAATATGTCACAACAATAAGCAGGAGACATTAAGCAGTAGACAAGGGATCTTTCCATCACACATACTAAAAGCAAGGTCCCTAGAGTCAGGCTGAAACACTGTAGTTCATGAATTGGATCACTCGCCAAATAGCTCAACTGTGCTGTCCGCTCCAACAGGGCTGTCATGATGATCAATTGAGAAGATGCATGTAAATGTGGCTTGAAAGCCATAAAGTGCTAATACATTTAAGATGAGGTTATTATTAACATTATTCACTACTTGGAAATAACAAAAAGGCTATACATAAAGAGAAAAAGCCTGAGGGAGTCAATAGGCATCAGTATCTCTAAGGCAGAAAGAACTGTGATATACTTAAATGACAAATGACAGGGAATAGAGAGGTACTAAGGGTATATGGTATCTTCCTTCCTGAAGGTAATATTCTAAGTAAAACCATTCGTGGACACAGGTGGCTGAACTAGATAGGTAATTAGTAAATGGTCTTTCTCTACGATTTTTGATCTGACAAGTCCTATAGAATTTGTTCACTATAGAAAGCAGACATGGAATTTGGCACTTAACTCATCAGCTGCTCAATGTTGGTGCTGATCTGAGCTTGCAAAGCCTCCCTTCGCTGCTGGGCTCGCTCTTCTAGAGCCCTCCCTAAGAAGTAGTGCCCCAGCCGCTCTTGAGCCTGGGTGTGGAGCTCCCTGCTGGCCACATCTGACATTTCAGAGCCCTGGAGAAAATTAAAAATGTTATCATGAGGGTATATGTATTAATTTCTCTCATCTAACTACAAAGACTTGTTTTCCTCTAATATCTGCAAATTCAATGTCCTAATTCTATTTCCATCTTGCTTTTCTAAGAGGCTTAACCACAGCCTCCTAAAATCTTAAATAGGATGAAAATATGGACTAAAGTAGGGGGAGTTTACAGGTAGCATAGCAGGAAGGTAAGGTGATGAAGTTGAAGGAGAGCAAAAATCATAAAAAATTTAGATTAATAGTAAGAATCAATGCTTATTACCATTGATAAAGTGCTAGATAACACAGCTTTTACTTTAACATTTGTACGTGTCTTTCAGAAAAACAATATTTTAGTAGTTATTTCCCATGTAATTATCAGCATAACTTAGGGATTGATTGTTTGCAACAGTACAGTAAAACCACGACTATTTAGAATCCTTAGCCAGTAAGTTATTTTAGATAGTTTAGTTTTCTACTTATCTAAGGGGTAATTCTTTAAAGGTCAGAACTTTTTTATTTTATCTGGATTTTCAAATGGAAATATTTCTAAAACATAGTATATATTCAATTGCCTTCTTACACAGAGGATATTGAATTTAATAAACTCAGAAGTAGAGGCTGATAGGTATGCCTCTCCTCAAATACACATTTCTACATACGGTCCATTACCACATACAATTTTTACACTGGTTGACTTTCTATATACACCCAACTCACAACTTACCTGTCTGTGTTCCTTGACTGCTGGAACTTAGATGGAAGGGAGATCAGAAACACTTTCTGGTCAAATTCTCCCAAAGAAGCTGAACCGAGAACAGGACTAGTGACTTTGCCTGAGTACAGTCACCCCCAGGAAAGGCTCTTTGGTGAGTGAAGCAAGGATACTTTCTGCAATGGATTCTTTTTACCCAGCTGCTGCACCCTCTATTTGGTTTGCAACCACAACGCTGCTTTACTTAGCAATTTTTCATGTCATAGGGAATGGGAACATGTTGGAATAGATGAGATGATCATTAATTACAGTTTTACATTATGGGAATTAATGCTTCCCTCCACTGGTGAAAAATATTAAGAGGAGACTATACATCCATACAGAAGATGATCATCAAGTCACAAAACGCAATCCACATTCACAAGAAACATATAAACACGCTTTTTAATTATGCCATGTATATGCCTAATTTCTATTCTTATAACCGTGAGACAAGGTATGTATGATCTTTTCATTGTTGCTACCTACAATATAAAGTAATAATATAAATAAGATTTCCTATGACAGGAATCTACTTACTGAGTGCTGTTTGATGTAATTGTCCACATGTTGCTTCAGTTCCATTCTACGTGCATCAGTAAGTTCTGGGAGTCCTTGCCAAGAATAAGACATTTTCTTTTTCTTTTGACATTTTCTTAAGAATTTAAGAGCCTAACGTGAACAAAAGGAAAGTCTGTAGTTTTATACTTTCCTTGTGAAGCTTTCAACAAGGCTGGTATAACATCACAATAAATCATCTTTCTTGATCCACAAAAGTTCTGTATTTTTTTCTTACAGGTGAGACAACAAAGGATAGTTAGAAAAAACATTGGACTAGGAAATTAAAAGTACTAAGTTCTAGTCCTGGATCCACTATTATTAGCTAGGTAATCTTGGGAATCTCTGTTTCTTTATTTGTAATTAGGAAGTACTAACTGCCCTGCCCACTGTACAATGTTGTTAATAGCAGATAACATTCACATAGAATTTAAAAGTTTGCAAATATTAATCAAGTGAGATGTTTGTAAAAGCATTCTGTAAACTGAAAAGTACTACGTAAATAGTATATAATGATGATGATGATGATGATAACTAAGGCAACACTATTTTCTGAATGTTCTGTCCCATTTTCTTTAAGGGGGCACACCTGACCATGATGTGATATAAACAGAAACACTGCACATCATTTTTCTTTTATCAGACCTGTGCTTTCATTGGCATAGGAAACTCCTGGTAATAAACTCCCTCTATCAAAGCAGATTATAGTGTTTTCTTAGAAACTTTATTTTAGAATGTTGCTGAGTATTCTGAGAACTTAAAGAACTTGCCCTGCTTCACAAGGCCAGGCATCCTATTATTAACAATTAATAATGAAGGTAAAATAGATCCTTCTATTTTTGCCTTGTTTGGTATCCCTTTGATCTCCCCTGTCTCCTTCAACTTGACATTTCTTTTCTGTTTTCTCCTTTAACTTTTTTTTGTTTCTCCTATCTTCTTCCTCCTATTTTTGTTCTTCATAGCCTTTTTACTTCAGTTTAAGTAACACTCAAAGAACTGCCTTGGGTTGTGTGGTCTCTGGGACTTACTGTGATTGTTAGTGGGGGAAGAGGAACAGGACAGAGAAGACATTAAATCTGTGCCTAGGTAGAAATGGAGAACAAAAATGAGCATTTCTCTCTTTTTTCCTTTTTCTCCTTTCCATCTCATTTTTCTTCAGTCTTCTTTCATGTTACTTGTTTTTGGCAAGCTATAGATCATGTTGGTGGCACTAGTTTTCCACAAACAGTGATAAACATTCTACAAACAGTGCTGAGCATTACTGCTCATCGTCATGGTACTGACAACCAGACAGACACAACCTCCCCTCTGTATTTCTCTTCTTAAATATGAGCAAAAGCAACAGAGAGAAGGAGAAAATTTTAAAAAAAGGGAAGTCAGGAAAATGCTATCCATATCCAGATAAAGAACTGATGGACTCTGAATGCAGATCAAAGCACATTTTTTTTTCACTTACTTTACTCTTTCTCATGTTTTTTCAAAATCTATTTCTTCTTTCATAACTGTGACTAATATGGAAATATTTCTTACATGATAGCACATATACAAACTATATCAAACTGCCTACCATTTTCAGAAAAGGGGAGTGGAGGGAGGAAGAAAAATTTGGAACTTAAATACCATTAAAACATTAAAAAAAGGAAAGTCAATTGGAAAGTCAATTATTTCAAAACTTCTCTACTTTACAGAAGCACAGTTTTTACTTATCTTCAAGAATAAAGATATGTGGCTTCAAACTGATGAGCTTGGATTGGGTGAAATTTATTAACTTTAAGCTAGGCCAAGAGGAATATCTAATTCTTTAATAGTGGAGGGGGAAATCAACACTCACCTTCTTGAGAAACAACAAAGTTGGAAAAAACAAATGAAATACCTTAAAGTTAACATACCTAGAAAGTTAAGAGCCAAAACTAGAACTCAGGAAGGTACTAGTCCAGTGCTTACTGTCCATTCAACTCTTGACAAGCTTTGCCTTGAACATAATAGGTGCTCAATAAATACTGAATTAAAATATGAATTAGATTGCTTATGAGTATCAATTGGATGTTCAGTTTCAAGGAGAGAGCTGTGCCTATCAATGAAACAACTTCTGTTCCTGAAGATAGGATATTTCAAAATAGTGGCAAAATATCCCTTAGTGGCCACTGGCTTATAACACGATCATAAATTTAGAGCTAGAAAGGATCTTAGGTCATTGAGTCCAATCCTCTTATTCTACAGAAACTGAGGAACAGAGAAGTTGCCCAAGGTATCTGGAGTCAGGTCTTCCCAACTCCAAGTTGAGTACTCTATATACTTCTCCGTGCTGCCCTGCCTTCTTCCTCTTCCCCTCCTTTTATCTGTAAACTCCTTGTATTTTTGTTCTTTTGCCATTTCCTCCCTGCATCTTTTTTTCTTCCTCTTCCTTCTGCCTCTGTGGTTGCGGCCAAGAGAGGTATGATTTGCCTATCTTAGCAAGACTTCAGAGGCTTATGGTTATTTTTTGGGGATGATGTAGAAGGCACATAAATGCCCTCTGGTGTCCATTCCAACTGTGAATTCTGTGAGTAATTAATCCATTTTCTTTTCTCTTCTATTATAGTGTAGGACAGTAACAGTTGGCTGCCTTATGACTTAGCTCTAGCAGTGGATAGCAGAAAGTATACATGCAACCTGCCAGTCTTCCACTCTTTCCCCAATAGGGGAAACAGTGATTCAAGTTACTTTTGGGGGCTAAGGAAATCCCAGGTGGGGGAGATGTAGGACTTGCCAGAGATCCTTCTTTATTTTAGTCTTAGTGGTGCCATCCAGGGCAGCTTTACTTCTGGGCCATAAAATATACTTACTGACCACCCCTATGCTTCCTCATATGGCATGATCTCAAGGTGCTTCATCATGCTGTTATTTTTATCTGGATGTACTACAATATACTGATGTCCTTAAAATGGGTACCTTGAGTTGAAGGTAATATTCAAGACATGGTATGATTTTGTTTGTGCAAACCTTTTCCAATCTCATGGTCATCTCTATTCCCTGTTTGGCCAAAAATTGTCCCACTATCTATAGTGGTGAAAGATAACTCTTTATTTTTTCTAATTTGTTCACGTGCTCTTTTGTACTTAGGTTATATATATATATATAGAGAGAGAGAGAGCTTATTCATATAAACAAAAACATGCAATTAGAACTAGAAGTAAAACAGTCAACTAGGGAAAATGTTCACAATGAATTTCATTGATAAAGGTTTATTATTCAAGATACATAGGGAATTGGTTTAATATATAAGAATAAGAGCCATTCCCCAATAAATAAATAGTCAAAGGATATGTACAGGCAGTTCTCAAAGGAAGAAATGAAAACTATCATTAACTATATTTTAAAAAATGCTACAAATCACTAGTGAGAGAAATGAACATTGAAAAAACTGAGTTCTACCTTATATCCATCAAATTGTGAAATATGAAAAAAAGTAAAATGGCAGTTATTAGAGGGGATATGGGAAGACAGGCATACTAATGAATTTTTGGTAGAGACATAAATTAGTCTAAAGCTTTCTGGAAATCAATTTGGGAGCCAGATGGAGCCAAGATGGCAGAGTAGCAGGAAGTACAGTCAGTTCCCTCCCCAAAGTACCCCCAAACAGATCTAGAAAATGCACCAGATTGAATTCTTATGGGAAAAGCCAAGGAAAAGTCGCAATAAGTCATTTTTCTAGCTCAGGTCAGCATAGGAAGACCAAAAAGTTTATGGAAACTGGGGACAGAGTCTGGCCAGGAGCACAACCACAGAGCACTCTAGCACCAATGTTTACCAGGAAAAGAGAAGGTTCCAGACCCATACCGGGGCACTGTGATGGGAAAAGGTACCAACTGGCTTTACTGACTACTACTCAGTCCTGGGGATGGGTAACATGGATAGAGGGGAGCTGTGCCCGGGGTAGTGTTCCCTGGCAGGAAGCAGTGGAAGGCCCTGGACTGTGTACTAAGAAAATAGCAAGTTCAAAAGCTAGCAGCAGTGGGAAGGGTCTCAGTTTCAGTTTCCATTTTATTCTAAAGCCTTTAGAAAAATAACTAGGGCAGGTATACCAGAAAGTATACCTGTGGGTCTATCACCCTGAACCAGAAGAACTTTCCAGGTACACAATAGGGACTGAATCTAGCATCATTCTACTGTTAGTCAAGACTCAGATCCAGGTCAGGAATTGCAGAATTTGTATCAGAGAAGGCAGTGATCAAACTTTGCTCTGGATCACACTACTGTGGAAGCACTGAAAGCTTATGGGTCCCAAGCCTACACTAGTCCTGAGATCCTGAAATAACACAATGCTCAACACCCCAGGAAAGCAGCAGTGAACCAGCCCAGACCTTCCCTTCACAAGTATTCCAAGCCTAGCCCTAATATCAAGTTCAAAGTCAGGAAGTAAGCTGGAAGAATGAGCAAATAAAAAAAAACATCATAAAAAGCTATTACGATGATAAGGAGTTCAAGACACAATGACAGATGACAATGACTCCAAAACACCTATAAGGCAAAGTCTCAAAGAAAAACACAGCTTGTACAAATCCAACTAGAATTCCTGGAAGGGTAAACAAGGTTTTAAAAAAAAGTTAGTTAAAAATGTTTTTATAAATGAAATGATAGAGCTGAAGGAAAGAACAGAAAAAGAAATTAAACCTATGGATGAAATCATTGGAAGGCGAATTAAGAGGTTTAAAACCTTGCCCCAACAACAAGCTCCCTGCAAATTAGAATGGACCAAACAGAAGACAATGACTCCACGAGGCAACAAGAAACATTAAAACAAAATCAAAATAGTGAAAAGATAAAAGACAATTTAGAGTATCTCATAGTAAATACAACTGACCTGGAAAACAGATCAAGGAGAATCACTGGATTACCTGAATGCCATGACCAAAACATGAGCCTAGGTGTCATATTTCAAGAAATCTTGGGGCAGCTAGGTGGCGCAGTGGATAGAGCACCAGCCCTGAAGTCAGGAGGACCTGAGTTCAAATCCGGCCTTAGACCGAACATTTGACACTTACTAGCTGTGTGACCCTGGGCAAGTCACTTAACCCCAATTGCCTAGAAAGAAAAGAAAAAAGAAGACAAAAAAAAAGAAATCTTAAACAAAAAACTGTCCAGATCTTTTGATCCAGAGGGTAAAGTGTAAATTGAAATAATCCACTTGTCACCTCATGAATGAAACCCCAAAATGAGCATTCCAAGGAACAATGGAGTCAAAATTCAGAGCTTCCTGGTTAAAAAAAATTCTGCGAACAGCCAAAAAGAAGAAATGCAAGTACTGAGCAGCCACGGTAAGGATTATATACGATTTAGCAGTCAACACTAAAAAGCGGTGGAGACCCTGGAATACAATATTCCAGAAAGCAAAGGATGTAGAATAACACTGACGAATAATTTACCCAGCAAAAATGAGTACAGCCAGTTCTTGATTAATGCAAGTGGACTGTTCTGCAGACATCCTTTCCCTGGCATGGCTCCTCACATGTAGAGCATCTTCAGTGCCTGGCCCCTCCAGGACCCCTGAACTGGAGTCACACACTGGGGAGTCAAATTTACATAAAGAGAGAACTGTCTTATGATGCTACAGGGAAAAAAAATGGATCTTCAATGAAATAGAAGACTTCTAAGTATTATTGATGAAAAGACCCGAGCTATGTAGAAACTGTGAATTTTATCAGAGTTATAAGGAACAAAAAAAGGTAAACAGAAATAAATGATAAACTGCTTACATTCAACTATGGGGAGATGATACATATGTCCCCTCCAAATCTTATCATCAACAGGGATCAAAGAGGAAGTCTAATGACACAAGAACTGGGAATTGTTCTGCTGTCTTAATCTTAAGGAAAGAAGAGAAAGAGAGAAGAAGAGGAATACACATGTGGTGGGGGAAGACAAAGTAAGATTAAGGAGGATGTAATTAAATATTATTGTGTTGTAAGAAGTGTTGAAAGAGATGGATTCAGAGACATTAAAGAAGGCTTGGATACAGAGTGAACTGAATCGAACCAGGAGAACAATTTATATAAAGACTACAATAACACGAAGGAAAATCCCTTTAAATAACTTAAGAATGCTGATGACTTATCATGACTTCATATCTCTTGGCAGAGAGGGATGTATGGTGGGTAAAGAATGAGGTATCCAGTATGTAGACTTCTTTTGTTTGACTATGTGTATATTTGTTCTAAGGGAGAGCTTTAGCAAGGGGCAGTTGTACATGAGTTGTACATGTAGACAGTGATAGTGATCCCCTCCCAAAAGAACATTTTAAAAAATACACAGTAAAGAAGGAGGAAGTTCAGAAATAGAAAGACAAGTAGGGCAGTTTTGCTACTATTGCATTAACTTTATTATGTATTGTAGAAGCTCACAGTTTCATATATAATCCTCTTTTCTGTTCTTTGTATATTGAAATGTTCATGTTTATTAAATTCACAACAAAAACTAAAATTTTTAAGAAATGCACTAGTGTAGAAATTATGCCATTAGTATCATCTCTGCATGTTTAAACATAAGGCCCAATTTAATAACTCACAGCTCTTTGAAGGAAGACTGCTGCTTTATACTCCTTTAGAGACTGCTTTTGTTGATGGAAATTTTTCCTCTCTCTGTATCCCCTCCAATGTTTCTGGATAATCAGTGCTGATTTTTCCTCCATTTCTTGGATGTGTTTTCCCACCCGACCTACAAAAAAAGCACAGAATACATTAAAGCACAGTCAATTCTACTGCTCCCAAATTTTGGTATCAAAAGTGTGGCAAATAATTTCTTTAGCTCTTTCTTTCATTCTTCACACTTCTTTTTTCTTTTTCCTTTTTAAGTATTGTTGAACAGCATCATGGCACAGTGGAGAAAAAGCCAGCCTAAGAGATACGAAGATCTAGGTTCAAATTCTGCCTCTGACACATTCTGGTCACATGAAACTGAGCAAAGTCACTTAGTCAGTCAGTGTCCCAAGCAAACTTTTACAGCTATAAAGCTGCAAATCTGAATTGGTAAAGGAAGTTTTCTCATTAAGAACATCCTTACACTTATGAATCACAAGTCTGAAGCACTCCCTCATCCCTACCAACACTTTTCTTTTGTTTTTACACAATTATCATGTCTCCTTCATCTACTCCCCTAACCCTGCTTGCCACTGGAACCTAAGCCAAACCAACTGACAGAATAACTGGCCATAGAGTCTAACACATTCCACATCCAAAGTCATCGTTGTTGTAGTCGTTCAGTTGTTTTCAGTCGCATCTGACTCTTCATGACCCAATTTAGGGTTTTCTTGGCAAAGATAATGGAGTGGTTTGCCATTTCCTTCTCCAGCTCATTTGACAGATGAGGAAACTGAGGCAAAAAAGGTTAAGTGACTTGCCCAGGGTCACAGAACTACTAAGTGTCTCAGGCCAGATTTGAACTTGGGAAGAGAAGTCTTCCAGACTCAAGGCCCAGCACTCTATCCACTACACCACCTAACTGCCCTCCACGCTCCTCTACCTCTCCATAAGGAAGAGGGATATGTTTGTCATCCTTTCTTCTTCAGGACCAAGACTGATCATTGAAATCAATCAATCAATGTTTTTTGATAGCCCACCAAGTGACAGACATATGAATAGTTTTCATTCTTCCCTTCTAATCTCCCTTTGTGTTCTATATTGGCCTTAAGTTTTAAGAGATGAATTCCTTCTTGGAATTTCCCAGGTTATCCAACTATTTAGTCCTGGTTCTACATCAAGAGTAAGTCATTAAATATAATCTGAAAAACACTGGCACTTCTTTGGTAGTGTTCAGATTGTTATTTTAGTGGCATTTACCCACTGAATTAAATTATCATAGCAATGAAAATGGTGACTGCAATGAAAATGAAAGGTGTGATATCGTCTGATTTTTTTTTTAAGCTGTAAAAGATTCAGTGGGTATTCTTGCCGATAGGACACTTTGGCCTTCCCACAATGAAAGAAGAGTAACTTTTACCAGGTAATAAATACATAGAAAGAAAGAGAATCTTATGAGTAACTAGGAAAGGCTCCAAGTGTTTTATTCTACAGGCTCCTGGGCACTCAGGAAGCAGCAGAGGAGAGCAAATGGCTATGGTATGGAAGTGTGTCCCACAGACATCAGGCTGCCAATGACTAATGATGAAGACAGTGACAAAGGAAAACCATGCTGCCCTCCCTTCCACTGTTTAACAGAAAAAAGGACAGGATTTCTGACTCAGTCCCAAGACCTGGCTTTAAATATGACAGCGTCATATAGCAAGAGAACATTATCTCTGCAATTTGAGAATCAGAGTTCAAATTCCACCTCTGACGTATACCAACTGTGTGAGATGTAAGGTAAGTAATTCAATTTTCCTGGGCTTTAGTCTAATCATACATAAAATGAAGGGGTTACTTAAACTAGATGGCTTCTGAGTTCCCTTCTAGCTCTAAATCGATGGTCCTATGGTCCTACGAGTTCTGACTTGGCCACTAGCTCTGTGACCATGGATAAATCACTGAAGGTCTCTTAGTTTCAATTTCCTTATCTCTAAAATGGGAACACAACTACTCATACTACCTTGTTAACATGAAGAAATTTAGTTAAACTTGTATCTTAGCATAGATTCCTATGGTACAACCACACCACCTAGTCACTGAGACATCCCCTGAACACCTACAGTGCTGGAGAACTCACTATTCCCCAAGATAACTAATTCTTGCTTTGGACAGCTTTTTGTTAGAAATCATTTTCTCATTTTGTGTTATAATCTGTGACTCTGGGCATAAAATCCAACAGTGAGACATTCTCTGCCTTCAAAGAATGTATGTTCTTCTAATCATTCATTTTTGAGGACATCCCTCTAATTGCACTAACATTTAGGTCACAACTATCTCATGATTATCATAAAGCTATAAAAAGTTTTACTAAAATCCAAATGTATTATATCCAAGGCATCTTCCTAATCTACTAGTTTAGCAACACTGTAAAGAAAGGATACAAGGAACAGCATTACCTATTCATGATTAACCTATGCTGGCTCATAGTGATCACTGCTTTCCTTGTCAATTGTTCTTAAATTCTCTCCTCAGTAATGATTTTTGCCAGTAGGAGAGATCAGGCTTATAAGCTTACACTTTAGAAAACCTAAGTTCTGCGCAGAGCCAAGATGGCAGAGTGAAAGCAGTGACTTCCTTGAGCTCTCCCCCAAACCCCTCCAAATATTCATAAAAAATGGCTCTAAACAAATTCTGAAGCAGCAAAACCCACAAAAAGACAGAGTGAAACAAGTTTCCAGCCCAAGACAACCTGGATGATTGATCAGAAAGGTGTATTGCGCCGGGCTGGGAGCTGAGCGTAGCGCAGCTTGGGTGCGCAGGCTGCAGCAAACCTGGAGCAGGCCTCAGAGGACTGAATCTCTGGCAGCTGTAGAGGTTTCCAGACTCCTCAATCCACCAATGCCAAAGACAATTTAGAAGGTCAGTGGGAAAAGTCTGTTTCTGTCGGGGCTGAGAACGGAAGGCAGGGTTTCAGCTCCATTCCCCAAGAGTGTGGCCCTGGAGGGGAGCAGCTGCTTCCCGAGCTTCCAGCCCACAGACTGAGGGGGAATCCAGTGGCTGATCAGAGAGGGATTGCAGGGATCTCTTTGCCAGTGCTGAGACAGGAATCTCTTGCTTTGCCCGTGTTTGGATCTGGGTCAGAGTTCTGGGCAGCGGTGCTGGAGTGAGGAGGAGTGCTGGCTTGGTGGAACTTGTAGTGATTGTGGAGAGGAGCCCCTCCTCACAGTTACAGGACAGAAAGGAATACTTGTAATCGCAGGCCAGGAAAGGAGTAAACACCTTGCCCCTTATCATACCACCTTGGAAGAAGGGAAAATTTACAGGGCCCTACAAGTAACTCTGAAAACAGCTGTACAAACCCCCCGAAGCTTGGGACAGTACATTCTCCACATTGGAAGCAGATTCGTACCTTAACAAAGAGTTTAAAACTCAAGTAATTGGCCAGGATCATGAGCAAGCAGCGTAAAAAGAGTCAGGCTATATTATCTTACTTTGGTAAAAAAGAAGATCAAAATATACAACCAGAAGAAGACAACAAAGTCAAAGCTCCTACATCCAAAGCCTCCAAGAAAAATATGAATCAGTCCCAGGCCTTGGAAGAGCTCAAAAGGGATTTTGAGAAGCAAGTAAGGGAAGTAGAGGAAAAACTGGGAAGAGAAATGAGAGTGATGCAAGAAAATCATGAAAAACAAGTCAACAGCTTGCTAAAGGAGACCCAAAAAAAATTGAAGAAAATAACACCTTAAAAAAAACCTAACCCAAATGGCAAAAGAGGTCCAAAAAGCCAATGAGGAGGAAAATGCCCTAAAAAGAAAAATTGGCCAAATGGAAAAGGAAGCCCAAAAGATTACTGAAGAAAATACTTCCTTAAAAATTAGAATAGAGCAATTGGAAGATAGTGACTTTACGAGAAATCACGACACAGTAGAACAAATCCAAAAGAATGGAAAATTAGAAAACAATGTGAAATATCTCACTGGAAAAACAACTGACCTGGAAAATAGATCCAGAAGAGAGAATTTAAAAATTATTGGACTATCTGAAAGCCATGATCAAAAAAGAGCCTAGACATCATCTTTCAAGAAATTATCAAGGAAAACTGCCCTGATATATTAGAACCAGAGGGCAAAATAGAAGTTGAAAGAATCCACAGATCTCCTCCTGAAAGAGATCCCCAAACGAAAACTCCTAGGAATATTATAGCCAAATTCCAGAGTTCCCAGGTCAAGGTGAAAATACTACAAGCTGCCAGAAGGAAACAATTCAAGTACTGTGGAAACACAATCAGGATAACACAAGATTTAGCAGCTTCTACATTAAAGGACCGCAGGGCATGGAATATAATATTCTAGAGGGCAAAGGAGATAGGATTACAACCAAGAATCACCTACCTAGCAAAACTGAGTATAATCCTTCTGGGAAAAAATGGTCATTCAGTGAAATAGAGGACTTTCAAGCATTCTTGATGAAAAGACCAGAGCTGAATAGAAAATTTGACTTTCAAATACAGGACTCAAGTGGAACATGAAGAGGTAAACAGGAAAGAGAAATCATAAGAGACTTATTAAGATTGAACTGTTACATTCCTGCATGGAAAGATGATATTTGTAACTCATGAGACCTTTGTCAGTATTAGGGTAGTTGGAGGAAAAAAATTATATGTATGTATATATAGATAGATAGATAGAGGGCACAGGGTGAGTTGAAGATTAAGGGGTCATATCTGGAGAATCAAATTAAGGGATGAGAGAAGATTATACTCAGAGAAGAAGAAAGGGAGAGGTAGAATGGGGTAAATTATCTCACACACATACACACACAAACAAACAACCAGAAAAGAAAAGTCTCTTACAGTGGAGGGGAAATGGGGGAAGGTGAGAGGGAATGAGTGAATCATTCTCATAGGATCTGGCTTAAGGAGGGAATAACATACATATTCAATTGGGTCTGGAAATCTGTCTTACCCTACAGGAAAATACGGGGAGAAGGGGACAAGAAAGCAGGGGGGATGATAGAGAGGAAGGCAGATTGGGAAAGGGGGTAATCAGAAGTAAATACTTCTGAGGAGGGACAGGGTCAAAAGAAAGAACAGAATAAATGGGAGGGCAGGATAGGATTAAGGGAAATAGAGTTAGTTTTTTACAACATGTCTAC